ATAATATTAACTGATTACTGATTAACAATTTTAGTTAGTAATAACAACTGAGGAGATAATTAAGACTTCACTACTGATCCTAGAAAACATGGATTATATGGGGTTATAGGAGAGAATCCCAAACTGCAAGTGATTTGGGAGAAAATGGGAAGAGAAAGAAGTGAAGCAACAGGGTAAGTTCATATTTCAAAAGGTTTGTAAAGAGCAGAGTAAGGATCATTTTTTAAAAGGGAAGACATATGTATGTTGGTAGTTTGAAGGCAAGGGTTAAATAGAATCGTCAACTTTACTAAATATCTAACATTTAGTTCAGAGTAAAGATCAACAAATGCCAGTTTTTTTCTTCCCACTAAAGTTTTGGCTTCTTCAGGAGTGCACATGCCAAACTCTTTTGGTAACCCTACAATAAACAAACAAAAATGATTGCTATCTGAGGCCAAAACCTTTGCTTTTTAATATTTAGCTATTCTGAGAAAATTCAGCTATTAGAAAATGATAACCTGCTTTCTGTAATGTATTCTGTATTGGGGTTTTGGTTTCAATAGTTTATTCTATATTTAAGTAGAGAAACTCCTCTGGCTTCTCTTGATAAGAATTTATATGTGAAAATTTGGTAGTCCAGATATATATGCTTTTAGAAAATACTTCAAGTTTGGTAGCTGAAGAAAAGATTAAGTTAAATTGTCCCTGGGATCTGCCACCCACAGGAATGTTGGCTGTGTTGGCAGGACACTGCTTAGTGCTGCCAAATAGTGTCAAAACTCCATTACTGAACTCCAAATTTCAAGTCCATCAGGAAAAGAAAAGGAGGGGAAGGAAAAGGAGGGGAGGAGAAAGGAGAGGAGAGATGGGAGGAGAGGGAAGAGGGGGAGAGGGGAAAAAATAGATAAAGAAAGAGGATGGCTAGGAGGAGGAGAGGGGAAAAGAAAAATATAAAAAAAGAAAGTCATACAGAGTTGTGCCAAAATCAAAATGACACACTGGCATCAATGCAGTTAATGGCTAGTAATTTTCAGATCCACACAGACACTTGACCTTTAAACACTGAAAAGGCCCAAGAAAAATGTTCTTGCTATTACTTATGCGTTCGCTGCTTTACTCTAGTCCAGCCAACCTAGTCTTGGCTCCCTCTATTCCTTCCTCCTACTCCAGCCTCCTGACATGGTTCTACATAGAATTCCCACGCCAGCAATAGCCACCTACCAGCCATCTGCCAAGCTGCCTTCCTGCCTTCATTCATCTGAAAACTTATTTTCAATTTCACCCCAACAAGAAGCCTACCCCGATTTGTGGGCAGGAGTATAAAGACAATAATATTTTATACTTCATACCAAGTATTTTGATTTTTAACTCTTTTAATATATACAATAATATTATAAGGTCTTATTGTACCCACTTTACAAAGGAGGAAATTAAAGCTTAGAAGTGTTAAGTGATTTGTCCATATTTCCTTAGCTAGTAAAGGTCAGAGGTGCAACTCAAATAAAGGTCCTCTAATCCCTGCTGATCTAAATTGCATTTTAAAAGGCAAAAAAGTCTATTTTACATTTTATTCTAGGAATATAAGGAATATTCAAATAATTGTGAAAGTGCCCTATGAGCTCATAATATTAAACCTATCTATCTAGAAAATTAATTGACTTTATATAGTTCTGAACCAGAAACGGGAAACTATTTTCTAAGAGTGAATGGCTTAGCCATTAACTTTTCCCAAGCAACAGAGAATACTATTTAATGTTTTGATTTACAAAAATGCAATAAAAAGCTCAGCTAAATCTCTGGAAAGATTTATAAGTAAATAATAACCATACAAGAGACACAGGATGCCTTTATTATGCCCTCAAGGTGAGAATGATCACAGGAAAATTCAACAATGAATGCCTCAGGTGAAAGTAACAAATATTAAACACATTCCAGCAAAGTCATTTCCATTAAGCTTTCATGCTTTCAACAGATATTCATGAGTGTCTAATCTATGCTAGTCAATGGAGAAGATTAACAAAGGCAAACAGAACAGCCAGAGTTTATATGCATATTCCATGGACACAGACAATAATGTGGTTAGGGCCAGAGGAAGGGGAGGGGAGGGCCTGCGTAGAGGGGGGGCAAAAGGGAGGGAAGTAGGGGACATCTGTAATAATGTCAACATAAAGAAAACAATAATTCATGATTTAGCGAATGAATGAGATCTAGCCCCTGCAGTCTAGGAAATCCCCTCTGACTATCTTCAAACTTTCTGCTATAATGGACTCTTTGTTCTGATTTTTGAGTTGGTCATTTTTCTGAGGATGTCTCATTTCCTTCAGTCTAGTTCTATGAATCTTAGTAAGAACAGAAGGGTTAGTGCATTATAACTTGGTCTATTTCTATTTCTCTCTCCCAAGCCCACAATACCCTACAAAAACAAAACAAAACAAAACAAAACAAAAAAACACTGTGACTATGGCAGCTGAGAAAAACAGCAGGAGTCTAACTATTGAAAGCCAAAAACAAGAAAGAAAACAATTCATCACATATAAGGTATTTTCAAAAAAGTTAGCAGTTGACTTCTTATTAGAAATCATGAAAGCCAGAAAGTAGTAGGGTGACACTGTCAAAGAATTGAAAGAAAAAATTGTCAACAAAATTTTTCATCTTAATTTGACCAAAAAAAACAGAGAGTTCATCACTAGCTGAATTTCCCTACAAGAAATACTACAGGGCCCTAGCTGGTTTGGCCCCATGGAGAGAGTGTCTGCCTGTGGACTGAAGGGTCCCTGATTTGATTTCAGCCAAGGACACGTGCCTGGGTTGCAGGCTCGATCCCTAGTAGGAGGCATACAGAAGACAGCCAATCAATAATTCTCTCTTATCCTCGATGTTTCTATGTCTCTATCCCTCTCCCTTCCTCTCTTAAATCGATAAAAAAAGTATATATATTTAAAAAAAGAAATTCTTCAGGCAGAATTAAAATTCAAACAGAAGTAATTCAAATCTATCAGGAAAATTAAAAGACAAACAGAAGTAATTCAAATACCATCAGGAAAATTAAAAGACAAACCACAAAATGGGAGAAAACATATGTAAGTCAGATGTGTGATAAGAGACTCATATCCAAAATATATTAAAAAACTCTTCCATTTATTAGTAAAAATATTAAATAATGCAATTAAAAAATGAACAAAGGATTTGAATAAACATTTATCTCAGTGAAAATGAAAATATACAAATGCTCAACCAGCACATGAAAAGATGCTCGATATAATCAATAATTAAGGAAATCCATATCAAAATCACAATGACACATTACTTCACATCCACTAGGATGGCTAGAACCAAAAGATAGACAATAACAAATTTCCATGAAAAGAGAAATAGGAACCCTCATATATTGCTTGTGAGAATGTAAAAATGACTTCGTTACTTTGGGAAACAATTTGGCAATTTCTCAAAATTGTAAAACATAGAGTAATTCTTTTCCTAGGTATCTACCCAAGAGAAATGATAACATATATCTATACAAAAACTTATATGTGGATGTTCATAGGCCATAATCGTATTCCTAGAAGAAAATTGGGAACAATCAAAATGTCTACTAACTGATGAATAAATACAACGTGCTATATCCATACAGTGGAATATTATTTAGCCATAAACAATGAAATAGTTATACATACTACAACATGGATTAACCTTAGAATCTTATACTAAGGAAAAAGGAGAAAAGGCCATTCACAAAAGACTCCATGCTGTAATGCTTCCATTTATACAAAAAAATCCAGAGCAGGCAGATCTATGGCCATAGTAAGAAAATTCCTGGTTTCCTATGGCTGGAGAATAAGAGATTGGAAAGACAATGGGTACCAGCTTTCCTCTGGGGTGATGAAATGTTCTAAAATTAGAGTGTGGTGATAGTTACACAACTCTGATTATACCAAACACCCACTGTGAGTTATTTTTAAATGGATGATTGCTATTGTATTTCAATAAATCTTTTTTAAATAAAAGGTAAGAAGTAAAGATAAATTGCATTGATCCACAGTCACATACTATAACTTGAAAAGAGGTGCTGAGAATTTTAATTAAAAGGTGTTAAGAACTACATGTGGCAGAAACAGATACCATGTTTTGGGGGGTGTATTAATGATTTAATAACAATGAAAATTTATCAATTGCTTACTATATCTTGCCAGGCACTGTGCTGTAAATTAGACACTTTTCAAAAATTTAATTATTTTTCATTGCACCACAGGATATATTTTTACTGATTTTTAGAGAGAGAGAGTAAGGGAGAGAGAGAGAAACATCAGTATGAGAGAGAAACATGGATATGAGCAACACCAATCAGTTGCCTCAATCAGAATCAAACCTGCAACATGGGTATGTATCCTAACCAGAAATCGAAACCGCAACCTTTTGGACGATGCTCCAACTAACTGAGCCACCTGGCCAGGGCTAAATTAGACACTATTAAAAGTACTTTGTTAGAAAAGGAACATAAACAATCCAATCAAAAAAATGGGCAATGGACCTAAATAGATACTTTTCAAAAGAGGACATAAAGAAGGTCAAGAGACATGAAAACATGCTCAAAGTCACTAATCATCCGAGAGATGCAAATCAAAATGACAATGCGGTACCATCTCACATCTGTCAGAATGGCATTCATCAAAAAATTAACAAATGACAAGTGTTGGTGAGGATGCAGAGAAAAAGGAACCCTCATGTACCCACACCCCGATAGGGGGTGGGGCCAGGTGCCAACCACCCATGGAGCCTTTCCCCAGCCAGCCTGGCCCAGATCGGCCCCCATTGGGGCCAGCTGGCGGACCCTGCTCATGCACAAAATCATGCACCAGGACTCTAGTTATTTATAATAGTAAGAATCTAGAAGCCATTTAAATGTCCATCAATAGCAAATGAAATGATAAACTTCAAATATACAACATATATTTAATAAAATTTATAATTATCTCCTTTTGCAAATAAGGTACTACAAAAATGTTTATGTACTATAATATTCATAGCAAACACTCATTGAGCATTTTAGGCACTACACTAAATACTTTACATGGATTAATTCATTTAATCCTCATGATAACCCTTTTAGGTAAGGCTTATTGAGGCACATAGCAATTAAGTAACTTGTACAAGTAGCCATGCTAATAAGTGCTAATTCTTGGCCATTCAAAGCCTGGCCACCTGACTCCTTCGACCCTGTCTTGGCCATGAGGCTCACTACCTTTCCATCAGCATTGTACTCCTTGGACATGAACAAGGACGAGAAAAGATAGTCAAAATGGAAATACTTGACCTGATGGTGGACTAGAAGTAAATTTTTCCTTAATATGTTTTAAATTTTCCAAAGTTAATATACTGTGCTGCAAATAAAAAGGGGAAACAAACAAAAACTTTATTTCTATTATTACTCCTGTTTTCCAACTCCATCAGGATAAAAAAGAAATCACATTTCCCCAAAAAAATGTCATGTAAATGAGAAACAGACACAATTCTCTATTTTATCTTAGGGACTGTGGATCAGGAGATATCTTTATAAGCAGGTGATAGCATATCAATTTTACCTTGAACATATCTGCGGTGTTGGGGTTAAACATCTGGTGTTTCCCAGATCCTAAAATAATTGGACCCGAACATCTTGCTTCTCCATAAACATAAAGGGATACTGTTGCCGGAGTGCCTGCATTTTCAATATCCCCAGTGACAACAGTCACCTTCCAATCTCCTTCTGCAAAAGGAAAAAGAAAATCAATAAGAAATTGTGGAGGAAAACCATATTAATATTAGGAAATGAGGAATTCTACATAATCTAGTTAGTTGTGAAATGAATAATTTGTGAAATCGTGAAGTATTAAGATAATTGTTAATCATGAACTCCTTTTGAAGCTAGCATGTAGAAAAGTTTTAGAAATATTATAGCATTTTAACTGCAAAGCAAAAAAGTAGCGAGCTTTTTCAGGACAGCATATATTTGGTGCAAAAATGCAGTGTTGGAGGCATTTAATACTGTTTGGCTAGAAAAATTAGAAGTTTATTCAGGCATCCCTGTCAAATCTTTGAGTGGGAAGAATGACAGATATACTGATATCCGGACCCTATATGTTGTCATCTATACTAGAAAATGCCCTATCAGGTTGAGGTTAGTAATACAGTCCTAGCAGAATCACGGTAAGAACACAGAAGACCACAATGAAGCAAAAAGAGCTAAAAAACGTTTTCAAGAAAGATTGCTGGAGTCCCTTAAGGGTTGGAATGAACCAATAAATAAGGAGCAACACGTTGAAAGCAGGACTTACAAAAGGAGTTAGGTTTGAGAGAGGGAGGGTGAAGAAAAGATGTATTTGAAATAGAGAAAGGCAGGGTGTATTATAAGCAGAGTGGATCCCCATGGTGATAGTGGAGGCAGAGGGAGGCTGAAGCAAGCAGGGCATGACAGAAAACATCTTTTAGAAGATCTACAACTTGTGCTGTGACTGGTTGGGTTGGAAAGATAAATTGAGATAGGATTTCTTTATCCTTCTGTGCACTTTGGAAAATTATACCATCAAACCCACAGCAGTAAAACCTGCTCATGCTGAGCCCACTCCACATAGTCAAGCGTAACAGAGGGTAGTCTTTTCCGCTAGAACTCTACGGAGGGCGTGCAATGCCACCCACCCGGGTTATCCCTGGATTGAAGGGACAACTTAAAGATGTCTTTATTGCTATTTTTTTTAATATATTTTATTGATTTTGTACAGAGAGGAAGGGAAAGAGATAGAGAGCTAGAAACATCGACGAGAGAGAGAGTCATCGACCAGCTGCCCGCAACCAAGGTACATGCCCTTGACCGAAATCGAACCCGGGACCTTTCAGTCCCCAAGCCGACGCTCTATCCATTGAGCCAAACCGGTCTCGGCTTTATTGCTATTTTCAAAGGCTCCACCGATGCATACTGCCTTGTGAGTATTTTTAACATTTACAAAGGTGAGTAAGGCCTGCCACCATTCTGGACACACGGGTTCTCAGTCACTCCTCCACTCAGATGTTATCTTTCTTTTTAATACATAACGTTATTCCCTTTCCCCAATACATTCACAAAGATCATTTTATTATCTCTAAGCCATTTAATAAAACTTGCAACAAGTAAATTTTGCAAAGTTACAGTTGATTTTAAAAAAAAGTTAGAACTTAAGCCTCAGCACCCAAATGCCATAGGAGGTGAACTCAAGTGGGGTTCACTCTACACTGCACAGATGCTCTGAAGAATTTCAGTTCATCTGGGAATATAAGAAACTTTTCCAACTATAGTCCCATTGAGAATCCTATCATGATATTAGTTCCTACAGAAAGCCTTTTTTCCACCTGTGCTTGGATGCATAGTTCCAAGAGTTACAGAATCTCTTTCCTTTTTATAAGATCTTTTTATAGATTGTCTTTCCCACCCCATCCTTACCTCCTTCCCCTGCCCTCTGAGCCTACTCTGGGATTTTCATGTTTCGCTGTCACAGGGGGAAGGACTGGCATAGCCTTGTTCATGGGCTTACAGATCTTGTTCAATAAAACAGAGACAAACAGCAGGGAACCATGGAATTATATAATGCTCCTGTGACCTTCCCACCGGGAATTAGCACGTCACCATTGCAGGAGCTTTGAACGTGGGGTCACTAATGAAATGTATTCCGTGGTGATTTTTGCGGATTCTCAAGTTTTCCTGGGCATCACTTTCTTTTTCTACTGCCAGAATAAAATACATGTTTCTTACTATTTTGTATAGTTTACTTTTTAAAATATGACCACTTATCTTTTCCAAGAACGTCTCACTACCTAAAATACAAAACGGTTATGATGAGAGATGTAAACAATGCAAGCAAATCTATTAACCCTCATTAATCTCCCAGCTCAAGAAACCATTTCTAGTCACGCTCCCACCACCCCATAAACACCAGGTTTATTCACCATCGGCAACCTGGACAAAGCGGCCACACCCTGCTATGTCCGGGAGCGTATTCCAAGAAGGCCTGACTGATACCTACTAACCCACTTGCTCTTTTGCAGTAACCATTTGATTGCTCTATTAAGAGGTAGAGTCTGTTCCCCTCCCTTTGAGTCTGGGTTACCCTTGTCCAATAGAATGCATCACAGGTGACATTCTAGACCCATTCCAGGGTCTACAATAGACCTGGGTCTGTTAGAACACTCCCTCTCAGACCCCAAGAGTCTCAACGCAAAAGTCATATACCTGAGCCACATCAACCCACTGAAAGGTGCAAGATAATAATAATAAATCATTGTTTAGAGTCACTCAATTTGGGAGTGGTTTCTTGTGCAGCAACAGAAAACTGGAATGGCTGCTGAAAGCAATTCTCAGATAAGAGCTCTCTATTATCTTTTTTGCTTAAAAATACCGTTAGTGTGTATTTTTAAGTAATACAACCAGGAGGTCTGATTATTAGCGTGTATGCCAGGGGATTTGACGGAGGCATCACTCTCATTTCCCAGGTAAAGGGGGGAAACAGATTGCAGGCCTGCTGTTAACCTTTTCCTTTCCAAAGGTTTCCTTATTTAATGGGATGTTTATTTTCAGGAAGGCATAGGTGGTTTCTGTTGGTGAACAAAGTCCCTAGAGATGTTGAAGAGCCCCTTCCTTAGATCTTAACATTTTATCCTTCTTATCCTGCTCAGAATTCTGTTACAGAGCTGGCATGCATTTTTTACTCTGTAGCTCAGAAAATGGACCCTGTGGTTGAATACAGAAACATCTGTGTCTAGACACATTTTCAGTTACTTGGCAACTACCCACTGAAGACAGTACTCAAAGAAATGCAGGGAAGATGCATGTAAATGAAGCTCTTCACGTGTAATTGTTAGTCCAACAGACGGAGGGAAAACTCAAAGCCTAAGTCACCAGGATGCACAGGGAAAATGATGGAACAGGCGTGCTTTGCCTGATGACACACCGGACAGCAAGCACAGTCACTTACCTTAACAGCAGGACACAGTGAGATGCAGTGAGAGGGACAAAACCCACTGCTCCTCTGCAGACCGCAGCCTCCCTGAGTACTCGGTGCATGTGGCCCTGACTTGGTGGAGAGGCTGAGCGTTGTGGCAGAGGAAGATGGAGGAGAATGGGGACAGCAGGTGACTTAAGAAGCAAAGGCTCCAACGTGAACCAGATTCACCCCCTTTCCCAAAGCACTGTTAGCATCTTCCAGACTCCAGAGGGTGAATCCAAGAATTCCTTCCACCCACATTACCTTTGTTTCCAGAGGGAGGTCAGAATAAGTAAAATGACCTCCCTCTTTATATCCTTAGTGACGTCCTAACATGGCTCATAAATCGGCATGCCTAAATTCAACTCTGTTCATGATACCGGTGCCCACAACACCCCTTCAAGCAGCCTCTGCCCCCTAAGAACATTCCCCCTGTAGCCACTTTCCCTTGTACCATCCTTTATCTATCCTAAAGGGCTCCTTCCCACCTCTGGGACTTTGCCTGAAATACCTCTGCCAGAATGTTTCTCCTCCAACTCTCTTCTCCTCCTTCCATCTGGTGAACACCTTTGATTCCAGGCTCAGCTCACAAGTTACCTTCTCTAAGAAGAAATTCCAGACATCCCTCGCAATAACTGGAATGAACCCATCTCTCCTTGTTTCTGTTGGGCCCTGTGCACACTTCGATTCTTAGATATGTGAATAAACGCCATCGGTCTGTTAGCCCTACCCCCATCTACCCACCGAGATTGTAAGTCACTTAAAGGCGAACTTTTGGTTTTAAGTGTCTCCATATTCCCATTGCCTCATTATTAGTATAATACTTCACACATAGTAGTCTCTCAAAAAAAAAAATGAAGGAGTGAATGATTTATAAAACCTTTTGGGATCCATTAAGGAGTATTTTTTAAAAGACTGCATGTGTGAGGAAGAATATTCAAGGTACCATCAACATGTTTCAGAACAATATTTAACTATTTTATAATTTAAAAATAACAAGTCCTTCTGATGAGGTTTCATTAGTGTCATTTTTTGGTACAAAGGACAAAGACATTGTTATTTGCCTCGTAATTCATCTTATTAGTACAATAATAATAAAAACATTATTGACCTTGTATCATCCAAATATTGAAGGGCATGTAAATATATTTAAATGAGATCTGGCAAAGATACTATAAAGAGACAAATTATTACTTTATTCTAATTTTTGATAATTTCATCTCCAAATAAGTCTATGTAAATAAACTCACAAGTCTTTCAAAATATAGATTCATAAGATCATGAGATTTTTTTGAATTTTTTAAGTACTTTAGAAGAACTTTTATTTTTTCCAAGAACAAATAATATTAATCCTACTATACATGTAAAGCAATCGAAAAATTATGTGCTGACTAGCATAGGAGTTGGGACATTTGATACAGAATTAGAAACAGCTATGCTGCTTAGAATAAAAGGGTATCAAATAATGCTCAATTTTCTTCACTTGAAGTTCAGAAAACAACCATAAAACACTATCAGAAATGAATCTGTTATATATTTTATATGTCATGGGTATAGAGTAAATCTTTTGTCATTTCAATGATTCTGATTATTATTTATTGTTGTAGGACGTAGTCAAAGACACCCCAATTTACAGGGCTGACTAGAGATAATCAGGAGTATAAACAGTCAACGGTAGTGGGGTGTGCTGCCTGCACCAGCCCAAATGCTTGTTCAGGGGACTGTTGCCAAATGCTCAGGTCCCATGATGCATTTCAACCCAAGGAAAAATGCAGTCTAAAAAAAATAACATTTATTGGGTATACATTTTATAGATATTATTTTACCTAATCCTTACAGCAACCCTGATAGTTTCTATTATTGTCTCTATTGTATCAGAAAGTAGGAGGCACGGAAAGCACAGTGATTGCTCCATGCCACGCAGTGAGCAAGGGACATAGTGAAGATTTAGAAGCTGCACTATCCCCAGGATGCTCAGGAGCTTTCTTGCTTGTTGGCAGCTGGTTGTATGTCACTGTTAAGGAAGGTTAACTGTTCTTCAGAGCAGTGTACCATGAAGCCCCTGCCTCTCTGTTTAGTACATTCAACTCCATTTCAAACCTTGATCCTTGTCAGGGAGAGCAGCATGATAGCTAAATATCATGTTCTTCCCAGGTGTCCCAGAGTCCTGCCAATCAGGATTCTAGCTTCTCATCAATGGCATTTCCATCTTGCCTTTACTCCAAATTCCCCTCAAGCGTATCCTTCATGGTTGCTGCTAAACTTCCCCCATATCCCTGCCTTGACTGATCATCCACCTTACCTTAGCTAACATAGAAACCTATTCTTACGTCTCTGAGTATTTACTAACAGTTCTCAAGTGCTTCATTTGCCAACCTCCAAGCAATTTACTAGATCCACTTCACGGTATACCTCTCATTAGGATAGCAACTCATAATCCTCAATATATCCAGAATTCAAAGCTTGACCTACATACATATGCAGGTCTACATAAACTACCCTCTACCAATTCCATAGCTATAATTATCTATTGCTTTGTAACCATCCATCCTAAGCTTAATAGGTTAAAACAATGATAGTCATTTATTTTGCCAGTGAATCTGCAATTTGGGTCAGACTTGGCAGAGAAGACCCATCCCTGCTTCACACAGTGTCACCTGGGATGGCTCAACTGCGGACAGGAAGATCAGTCTCCAAGAGGGCCCTCTCAGATGCCTGGCAAGCTGGTGCTGGCCGCTGGCTGGAAGCTCAGCCAGGGACCAGGGAAATAGCCTGTGTGCCTCTCTGCAGAGCTCTCCATGTGGTCTGTGCTCCCTTAAGGCCGTGGTAAGTGGCTGGGTTCTAAGAACAAACATCTCCTGAGAGAGATGAAGAGGGAAACAGCCAGGCAGAGCAGCACTGATTTTGGTGACCTGCTAGTGTTCAGCGGAAAAATCGCATAGTATGTATGACTCCAGCTGCATACTCAGTCTCAAAGTTCCACCCAGGTTGATCCTGCCTTTTAAGGGGGATAGCCAAAGTCTGGAAGAGCACATGGGACAGGAAATGTTCTAGATATGTTCAGTAAATGCAGTCTGCCACATCTACCTTTCCAGACTTGCCATTGAACATTTCTCAGCCTCTCTCCCATCAGGACCACTAGTCTCTAGGTCAGTGGTTCTCAACTGGGGATGATCTTGCCCCAGAGGACATTTGGTGATGCCTGAAGATATATTTTGTGGTCACAATTTAGGGAATGGGGTAGGTGTTATTAGCATTCAGGAATGATGATATATTTGACAGTCTCCCACGAGAAAAAAGTTATTTAGCCCAAGTAATAGTTGTAAGGTTGAGAAACCTTGCTTCATATTAAGAATCACTTAATTAATTATATTTTACCCAAAACTGTACTATGCTTTCTGTGAATTAACTCTAAACTGTTTGAGAATAACTCTTTTGGCAATTTTCTTCATTGCTTTTAAACACTCTGAAGATGCTAAGATCATAGTATTACTGTTTCAATGTCAAATCCATTTCATTCAATTTCTATGTTGAAAAATGGATATTCTGTCTGTCAGGGAAAGGTATAAAACAAGGTTTTAGAATCAAGGAAGGCTGAATGGCTATCTAAACACTGGATATTTAACTTGTTTGCATATTGCTTATCTGCATTTATCCATCACATTCACATCAGCTTTAAAATGTAAACATACCAATAATACAATTGTGGTGGATTTAAAGAAGACATAATTGAAAAAGCTAACCTCAAAAGACTTAAAAAGAAAACTAGAAATCAATATACAAATTTAATAAAGAAAAAGTACAATGAATAGAAATTAATCATTTGAAAAATGATTGTTTCTCTTATATTTAAATTATTGAAAGGAAAAAGCATTTGGAGCTAAGGTTGTTTATGTTATTTTCTTTATAAATCAAGCAATAATTTAATGTTTGTGCCTATATTCATTTTAAATATTTTTCTATCAATAGTTGGATAATATACAATAAGAATATATAAAAACTGGTCAGGCTAGGTCATCTTGAAAAATAAATTGGTTATTTTAGATGATTAAAAGATGAAAAGTGGCAATGAGATTTACCATTTGCTTCCTCTTGTATTTTAGGTTGATGATTTATTTGCATTTCTGCAAAAAAATAAATAAATAAAAGTGAAGTGCAGTTAATAATAGATCTGTCTGATGATATAAGTGGAAGAAAAAGAAGTATGAGTTTAACTCTTTAACAGTATAGCAAATCCTTGGACTAATTTTTAACTTACAGTAGGGCAGATAACATTGCAAGACACATCTTCATATATGTTTTTATTTTCACAGTGAAAAATAATTATAAATTTGATACAAAGGGTAAACTATCAAAGAGGACATTCTGGGGACAACTGAGGATTATTCCATGACATCCAGTTTATCAAAATTATCTTGTACTTTCTTGTATTGAAGATTTTGTTAATCCTCACCTTGGATATAAAGTTCAATTTCTGAATAAATTATGCTCTGAGCCGAAACCGGTTTGGCTCAATGGATAGAGCATCGGCTTGGGGACTGAAGGCACCTGGGTTCGATTCCAGTCAAGGGCATATACCTTGGTTGCAGGCATATCCCCAGTGGGGGTGTGTGCAAGAGGCAGCTAATCAATGACACGCTCTCATTGATGTTTTTAGCTATCTCTCTCTCTTTCTCTCTGTACAAAATCAATAAAATGTATATTTTTTTTAAAAAAAATTATGCCCCGAGACATAAAGGGAAGCCATCTAAAAAAAAATAAAAAAAAGAGAGAGAGAGAAAATTAATTTCTGTTTTTCTTAATTTTTACAATAAGTCTTATTCTTCATTGATTTTGAATATTAAAAGGTAATTATTAAAATAGCTTTAAATCAAACATACTCCAATATGCTATGGACTCATCACTGGTAAGCCACAACTGTGGCTTGCAGAATAAAGTACATAAATTACTAACCCTGATAATCATCTACCCTTTCAGGTTTACCAGTCCTCAGTCAGAAACACTTGTAAATGCAACTGGGGCCTTTGGGGAGCACTCTCCACACACCAAGCTGTAACAAAGGCAAGCCGGGTCTAAGACTTAGCCTGATACGTGGGCTAGGTTCTAAAGTGTGGCCTGTAGATAATTTGGCACAGAAAAATAAGCTCCACCCTTTTAATAAATCCCCAATCTTTAATACAACCTGTATCTCTAACATCCTCTGTCTTGCTTTCTCATAGCTTTCTTTAATATCTTTCCTTCATTGTCTCCAAAAAGAATATTACCCTAAAATTTGGTGAAAATATTACCACTTTGGAAAATGTACTCAGGGTGAATAATAGCTAATCATACCGGCTTCCCTCTCAACCAGCAAATTCTGTTAGAAGTTCCTTTTGACAGAAAAAGCCAAGGCTGAACCAGGAAAGCCATCCTTCCCACTTGCTGGCTTTGTGACACTCCTCTCTCTACTAAGTTGCCTGCCTCACAGAGCTGTTGTGAAGCTGAAATGAATAGTCACGTAAAAATATTTTATGTACTCTGAAGTGGTACATAAATGTTACTATTTTCCACAATAACCACAGTTATTGTTATTCCACATTTGAACATACTTCCATTCCTTCCATCTATTCAATAAATATTTAGAAGCACCTTTTGTGTGGCAGGTACTTTGCTAAGTGCTGGGGAATACAAGAACGAGAGGGACAAGGAAACCGTGCTGAAGAAAATTTCAGTGTGAAAGAAGAAAACAGATGTGTAAAGGAATCAATTCACCAATCGATACCTTTAGGTATTGTAGGTGATGTAAGAAAAAATTACAGATATTATTGGAGAAGAGGGAACTGACCACTTCTTAATGTCAAGAATGGGGAAGTAAAGGAATAAAGAACAAATTTCAATAAAGGTATGATACTTGAGCGACAGGTTGGACAGTAAATAGATGTTTGACAGGCAAATAAGAGGTCAGGAAGGCACCGTAGGGAGAGGCAATAGCACTGGCCATGGTACAGAAGTGAGACTCCATGTGGCTGGAGCACGGGAGCTGCAGGAAAAGACATGAGAGATGGGGAGTAGGAAAACGTGGTGGTTACTGAACCCCCAAAATGCCAAAGTATTCCAAGGCTGAGTTGTGGGACTTATTGGAGTCACCAGGTGGTGGAGTTGGGGTGTAAAGGTAAATTGTGAGCTCAGACAGTTCTACTGAGCTGTCAGCACTGCTCATCTTTCCATTTTTCAAAAGCTAGGAGCTTGCTTATCCAAGAACACCATACATTGTATGCAGCCACCAGCAAAAAAAGCATACTTGAACAGCCCAGAGTTGTGAGCTAAATAAAAATGCAGAAACAAAACAAAAAATCTAGAAAAAAACATTTTCCCCAGACTTTTATGGTGAAAGTAGACAACTATGGAATGTGTTTGAGTGATCTTGCCCTAAAAAATATGGGCTGTTTCTGTGGGAAAAGAGCATAAAAAGTTGATATAGCCTAGATCTTGTCTGTGATACATTTTACATGTGGTAACCCCTGACTCACATTGAATATGGCAGAAGAAATGCTAAATGCATGTAAGAAGGTTCTATGTCTCCGGCCCCATCTGAAAAAACGGGCAAGACTTATCCCTGCGCCTCATTCTGTCAGTTTCCCACCGTCACTTCTTGTCAGTTTTGTACCAAGGATAGGCTCAAACTGACAAAGAAGAGACCAGAAGTCTGCAGCAGCACAAATACACTCTCAGAATAGCAAGAAATTATTAAGAGTGGCCTCTTTTAGAGAAAAAAATAATCTGTGAAGGCTGTTGGACAGTTCCCAACATTAAAGATTCAAAATGCCAAAAACAGCACGAAGTTTCTTATTCCATGTCCACAATAGATTGGGTTTTCACATGGAAACCTCTTCTTATTCAACTGCAGTCAAGGGTGTGGGGCCCATCTGCTTCCCTGGGACTGAGAGACCAAGTGACACTACACTCAGTGCCTCCGTGCCAGCGGAGAGTTTTCCTGAGAGACTCAGTGAGAATCTAGAGAGCAAGGCTTATAGGCAGGAGGGCCAGGTCAGAAATGGAGGGAGTTGCTTCCTGGGCTTGTCATTATGGGGCTAAGGGAAATCCCAAATTATCTAGGTCTTAATCGTTGTCATTTGTCTTTCTTATGTGCTGTTCTAAGAGTTCTCTCTAAAATTTCCCTCACTTAATTCCCTTATGAAATTGTTATATCTCGACGATTTTACTAATATAAAGAAACCAATATTTAAACAAATATTCTTACCATGTATGTGATAATTCTCAGTGTTAATCTTTTGGTCCTTTTGTGACATAGAGCACACTGAAATACCAAGAAATTACAAGATCATTTTTAAGTATATTTTTATTGATTTGAGAGAGGAAGATAGAAACATCAATGATGAGAGAGAACCATTGATCAGCTGCCTCCTGCACATCCCCTACTGGGGATCCAGCCTGTAGTCTGGGCATGTGTCCTTGACCAGAGATGAACCTTTCAGTGTATAGGCCAACTATCTTTCCACTGAGCCAAACCAGCTAGGGTGCAGGATAATTTTCACTACCAACAGATTATTTACTTAAACAATAATGAGTGATACATGCTGTGGAATACTGAGTCAATGACACAACTCCACACACCTAAAACACACACATACACTCACACACTCAGCATTGTCCACACTGAAGTGCACTCTCTTGAAGTACCAGGGAGACCAGCCCTATCTTTCACAGGTAAAGAAGGACTGGGACTTGGTGCCGGTTTCTCTGAAGATGACCTTCTCACAATACCAGTACTAAGATTTGTCACTGGCCTCACAGCACCTCCTGCAGTTGGCCAAGTGACACTGCTTCTACCTAAAACGTGTCAGTCTGATACAGGAGACAGAGGAAAACCCCACAGAAATAACTTGAGTCCAGCACATGACAAATGCAGTTAATAATAACAATAGCCCAAGGATGGCCTGAAGTAGCATAATACTTTAAAAAAGATCATGTTACTACAGCCAGCATCAAAGGGGGTAATAAGGAAAGAAAAGTAAGCAAATTACTTTTTTTATCTATTAAAAATATATTTCTGGCTGTGCTTCTTTCTCTCCTGCAGTTTTCTTTTCTCCATTTGCAATATTATCCAGTGTAACAAATAAATAAGCCCTAAGACAAAGGCTTCCAGTCCATGGCTTTTCTCTGGCTTTTACTCCTGCCCCTGGATGCAGCTTATTAGGTCTCAGGTTGCAGCATGTGGCCCCATATGTAACACACTTCGTTTTCATGAATGCTGATCTACTTTGAGGCATGTAGTCACAAATTTCTCCTCTCTTCCCACCTCCTCCTTCTCCCTTCCATTCTCCAAAAATTCTCTCCTGTACCTCTCTCCATGAATGAGATAGAGCATATTCTTGGGTTTGTTGTGAAAAAGCATCCTGGCATCTTCATTTCTAAATAGGCTTGCTTTGCCATGTCAAAATGTTACTGAATTTCCAGAGAGGTGTAAGGCCTAAAGAGAATGCTACATTGATCAGAATAAAAAGAACTCCTTTACACATTCCTTCCTTGTAGATTGTTGGTGGGACTAACCACCCTAAAGTTTTCTGAGAAAGGGACCATGAATTTATCTATGTCTGAGACATTCCCAGTCATGCCATTTGACTATTAGCCACTTTTCTCTACTTTGTGGTAGAAATGCTGACTCAGGGCTGCTTCTTTTGCTTACATTGCCACCAGGTTAGATTTCAATTTCGTATTTCATGACATATTACTGGGTGTCAACTGTGGGTTCCATGTTTTTGTTTGTTTGTTTTGTTTTGTTTTTATGGAAATCTCTTATTTAGACCAAGCTGAAACCATTACTAGTCCCATGACATTTCTGTAAATCAGATAATGATTGTGCATGTTCTCTGGGGCGCCTTTAAAGGGATATTTCTTGATATGCATCACCCGCTGAGGCAGATATAATTGATGCGCCCTGTCATCTGAGTCCATTTCTGGGCTCATCGGCTACTTTGCTGGCTGGCATAGGCATGCTGGCCGCTTTCTTTCTCAGACCCTGTGCCTCACTGCTTCTTTGCCTGAGGACTTCCTGTGGTGGGACAATTTTGAGGGATGTTCTGCAGAGTTTCTCTAAAGGTACCCTATCAAAAAAAAGTTCCAGTATAATTAACGCATTACTGTCCCTATATTGGCTTTTCCCATTTCCTGCCTCACTTTCTCCACACTTCACCTCAAAGTACTCACCGGGATCACCTCCCAGATAAACTGCCTGTCCTCCAGCCTTTGTCTTAAGGTCTGTCGTAGAGCAAATACCTCAAGGTCTAGAAAATTTTCCTGAATCAGCTTTCTGGTTTCTTCTTGTCTCTTAAAGTAACTTAACTTTTGAAGATAAAATTAAACTTGGTCTACTATGTCTGTGGCTGCCTTTTGATTACATCGCTGGACACTTTGTGGAGTAAATGACAACAACCAGACCAATCAGTGGCTAATGACGTGAGTTGTGGCTGGTGTGAAATTGCTCTGGGGATAAAC